TTTTCTTCAAAATTTAAGTATATAATTGGTTCTAAGGTTTTTACTTTTTATGAGTCTGGTACGGAAAGAGCTGGTCACCAATATTTTATACACAATATCCTTCGGTGGCCGACCACTGACTGCGTTTCAGAAATTATTTTTCTGATTAGAATTGGTATTACTGTGTAATGGCTTTTATTAAGCGAAGTTATTTAGTGGTTCTTACGGAAGTGTTGAATGTGTTTTTTATTCTAACTTAGGTGTCATTATCAGGTTGTTTATATGCAATTTTTTGTTATTGCACGTGGATAAGTTAGCTCCGATATTTTAATTGGGAAGAATCGATCCGATGCCTTATAGGATTATTTGTAGTATTCTAGTAACCTATATAAAATAAACTTTAGATGTCTGTCGCCTGTCAGTTCCACCCGCACGCTCATTTGGTTGAGGACCATAGGGCTGGTGACCTAATTTGTCCAGAGTGTGGAACTGTTGTTGGAGATAGGTGTCTTGTTGTTCTGTTTTTATAATTTGCAAGAGCTGCTAACAGATATGAGTTCAATTTTTGGCGTTAGCATTGTCGAGAACAGTAAGGATTAAAAATGAGCTTTCGTGGTTTTATGTTGGCTCTAACTTCTCTTACAGGCTTGTTGATGTTGGAACGGAATGGCGTTCGTTTAGCAACGAAAGTTCTGGAACAGATCCATCTCGTGTTGGCGCTCCCGAAAATCCACTTCTTGGTGGGTCTGATCTTTCTACATCGATTGCTGTCGGATTTGGAGGATCGGAAAGCGATCAGAGGTGATTCGCATGACAATTCCTTTTGGTTTTCCTGAAAATTCTAAAGGTCAAAAGTATTGTAGCTTAGCGAATGCGCAGAGGAAGAACATGAATAATACTGACCGGCAGATGACACAGGCCATTAGTGTCATAAGGGAAATGAGTTCACGAATTCATCTTGCGAAGTCCATTGAAGTGCGGTATTTTTATACTTTTATGTCGTAGGTCTTCCGGAAAGAGATGTTTTTCCTTTCAAAATATTCATTCTTAGTCGTTTTACATTTAAAGCAGAGGAGATCATAGATTTTTTGAGGAGTCTTTAGGATAACGCCGCAAAAATTTTTAAAGACGTTCTGGATAGCAAAGCTTTGAAGGGGAAGAATAATGAAGCTCAGGCTGCTGCATGTCTTTACATTGCGTGTCGTAAAGAAGGGGTTCCTCGGACATTTAAAGGTCAGAGTTTTTTCACTTTTAACGTTTCTTGCGTCTGACTTGACTTCACGTTTGTGCAGTGTGATTCATTCTTTTTGTACTGTCATCTTCACTACTCCGACATAGATTAATGCTTGCCATTTCGATCACTGTTATGATTCGAGAACTAATAGAATGACGACTTGTATTACTTAATTTTAGAAATTTGTGCAGCATCCCGTGTTTCTAAAAAGGAGATCGGAAGATGTTTCAAATTGATTATCAAAACTCTTGAAACCAATTTGGAACAGATTACTAGCGCTGACTTTATGGTAGCTTTTCTTGACTTTATGAAATTAGTTTTCTTAACTTTATGGCGGAAAAAAGTATAAGGCAATATGATTTAAGTCACGATTTTGCGGGAATTTGGGCTTGCCACACAGCACTCAAGCAATTGCCACGAGAATTGCTAAAAAGGCAGTGGAACTAGATCTTGTCGCAGGGTAAGTATTTGTGAGGATAATTTATTCTTGAATTCAAGAATGAAGTTGATAAAATGAAGTTAATATTTACTTTCAGTAGTGTGAGAGTGGTGTTAATCGGAAAGTAGTTGTTGGCGTTCAATAATGACATTCTTTATTAGAAATAGGTCTTTCTATTTTTCACTTTTCTCATCTTTGAGACTGACAATAATCCCTTAGAGTTTTTTTGCAGTGGTACTTTTATGTTATAGAAATGTTAAATCTTCAGGAGAAGTCCTATTTCTATTGCTGCTGCAGCTATTTACATGGCTTCCCAAGCTTCTAATGAAAAGAAGACTGCTAAAGGTAATGACAATTGTTTATTGATGTTTTGCTTTTTTTTTTTGGCCGACTTTCACGGTTGGGAAAGAGTGGCTTAGGTTGTGAAAATATGTTGAAATAATTACAGAGATCGGTGAGATAGCTGGCGCAGCAGAGGTGACGGTCAAACAAACTTACAAACTTTTGTATCCGAGAGCTGCAGAATTGTTTCCCGAGGAGTACAAATATTCTACAAATTTAGATTCTTTGCCAACTTCGTAATATATAATGGAACAAAATAATTCAGTATGGCTGGAGGAGAATTTTGAATAGAAGTTAAAAACCGGAAAAAAGTAATACTTGAGGATAATTGACCAGTTAGATGGTAGCTTAACACTAGACAACTTATTTTGGTATTGGTTTCGAATGAGCAATTTAATTAACTTGGGAACGAGCACTTTTATTAACTGGCCAAGGCTGTATTTACATGTCTACAAAACGGTTAACGTTTTGCAGATGCGAAACTACGAGGTTTATGAGATATTGATCGTTTTTTAAACGTGTAAATACAACTCTGAGCAGGTAGGTGCATTATCATATTTCTAATTCGTTTAAGCTTTTCTGTTTGAGCAAACGGCACAATTTTCCACATCTAACTGTATGGGTGTTTCCGAGTATTATCTTTTTTCGTTTTTTTAAATTATTTTTTATGACTTCCTCCAATCATATTTGATTATTTTGTTCCATTCTCTGAGAGTGAATGTTTGTATAATAAGCTTTATTGCTTTCTTTTGGGAACTAATAGTCAAATAAAGTGCTTTGTACAGTAGTTTTTTGTCGTATATTATGGTTTTTCTTTCAGCACATACTAAGCCAATACTGGCTCAGGTTGTCTTGGTTAGCGCACGGTTTGTTAAATTTGAAGGTCGGACCTCTTTGTCCTATCTTCTTGATGTCCTATTAGACTCACTTTCTACAAAACAGTCACTGTTACCATAGTTAACTCCTGCTACGTCCTAGACTTGACGTCCTAGACTTGTATCAGAAACTCAAATCCAGAGCACGATCTGCTCTGAATTTGAGTTTTTGATACAAGTCTAGGACGTCATTTAGTCCTAGACCTGTGGTGTTAACCACCTCTTTCTTGTTCTTTGCTGGAACCACCGGTTCGTCTATCTTGGAAGAAGCCAATTAAATTTCTGCTTTTCTTGTTAAGCGAACTGAATCTAAGCGTAAAGTATGTTGTGAGGAGTACGTATATTCTCTGACTACTTTATTTTCTATACTCTGCGCTAATTTAGTAGAAACAAACCTGAAGAGGGCAATCTCGATAAATTATTTCTTATTAATAACAAATAAGCAACAAAGAATTACAGACCTCCTATGGGCGCGTACAGGAAGTGATATAAGGCACACTGTAGGCAATGATATCAACCGAAATTAAATTATACCGATAATAATACTGAGGAGTGCAGAGCTCCACCGCCCATTTATACGCCTCCGTAGTGGTCTTCCCTGTTGTTCTTCCGAAAGCTTCTCCTCATAAAAAATATAGTGGCTAATCACCTTTGGTTTTGAATTTGCTGTTTCGCGTATGCACACTGCAGTGGTATTGTATACTTCTGCATTTATCGGGTTCATGTAAGAGCGCCTTTGTGGTGCAAGGTCTGTTACTTTGAACTCTTCGTGTTCCAAGGTTTCAGTGAGTTTCTAGTTGACGACTTCCTCTCAACTTGCAAGATACGCAAGTCTTTCTCTATTAAGGATCAAATAAGGGTTGCTAAAACTTTTTTGCGAGTACAATTCGGTATGTTTTTTGTCTGTTTTTTAAACTTAGTTTTTGCTGTCTAAGGAGACTGGTATTATAAGCGACCTGCTCAGACGCCGTTGAAGCGGAACGAGATGGAGTTTCCTCATAGGCGATCTTGGAAGCCAATAGTCACGAACGGGCATATTAATCTTTTTTTATTAGACACTGTTAACGGTACTGCTGCACTAAAAGTTTATCGTTGCGGGAGATTCTGTGTTGGATTTTAAAAAGGGTGAAGCATACAGATGTGCTCGAGATTAGTGAATGCGTGGGTGAGGGCAGAATTGAAACCTGAGGGTTTCAGGATTCCAGACAAAGAAACTTTTTTTTAGTGGTAGGTAATGTAAATCGCGCTGAGCTAGCAAAGTTCTGTGGTTCCATATAATTTCATATAATTCTGTGGTTAAAATTTTTTGTGTTATTCTAAACTGCAAATTAGTAAGTATTTTTATGTCTCAAGCATCTGTATTGGGTTTCTTTTAAGTTTCAAAATGAGACAACTACAGTTCGGTGACGACAACATGAGCTTCTGGTGCTAGCTTTTGGAGCAAAGCTCTTGAGTAAAATACTGTGCAGCCAACGAGAGAATTTATATGGAAGTTCACTTTACCCATGCACTCTTTAACGCCGTTTATTATTGCAGCATTTTTATGCTGTTTCTCGATATACTGTTTACTGATTACCGTACCACTACCAGTACGTCAGATGCTATTACATGAGATACAACTAATGAGCAAAAGAAGGAAGCCTAATGTAACTGTCGTTCCCGCAACTCAAATAAAAAAGGTTCGCTCGAACTATTTTAACAGCTAGTACCAAAACTAACATTTGGTATCAGGAACTCAACTTTGCTTTCGCCATAGAGCTGAGCCTTGAACAACCATAGCACGTTGTTGTCAGGGTTGTAGATTCTAAGTCTGTCTAGCTGAAGAAACAAAATGACTTTTTGTGTTGGCAGTTTTGTGCAGTCCGGTGTTTTAGACTATTTCTGTAAATTATCAGTTGAAATCTGAACACTGTTAATTAGAGAAAGTTTCAAAGGTAACTGTAAAATGTCAACCGAAAAAAGTTTTAAATTTAGTATTAGACTATGTAGTAGCAAAATGTGTACGCGAGAATATTACGAATTACGTATATTTAACACATACATACAAATATTTAACAAGTTTTTAAGGTAAAAAAAAAATGAATATCTAAAAAAATAAAGTTTTGCACAAAAATTGCTTTATTACAAAACAGGAAACAGCAAGAAGACTCCTCTGTCTTCGTCTATCAGCTCAACTCTCTATCAACTCTTGAATTGTTACGTTTAGGAAATATCTTTTAAATTTCTAAAGAACGTGCGTAAAATTCTGAAATTTTTACTCACTATTTTTTGATGCTGTGGTAGTTCTATTTTTACCAGTTTTGAATTTGCATTTGTTATTTAGTTGCCTTAAACTTATTGCGAAAGATTTTAGGAACGCATTTGATCGAGTGACAAGTCATAAGCTTTAAAAACTTACACCACTCACTGTGTAAATTTACATTTGCAGGATTAGAAAAATTATCAGAGCGACCTTTTGATAAAAAATGGTATTTTTTAAGAAATTTTGTGGGTTTTGCTAATCTTTGTATCTGTAGAAACATGTCACCGTTGTTTACCAAACAGAAACCTTTTGATTTTGTTCAAATTCAGCATAAATTTCATCACTTAAACCAATTTGGAATCTTAATTTTTCTTCTCAAACTACAGGAATAATCCAAAACGCTCACTTAAAAGCAAACTGATAAATAATAAATTTTCATTTTTTCAGAATAAAGTACCTTTCGTAACATTTTTTATTTAAAACTTTTTCAACTTTTTGCTGAAGTAACAGCAAACAACTTATAGAAGAATAACTGGAATTAATTTGTGCGAGCTCGAGCAAGAACTCAAAAAATTTGATTTTTTGTCACATAAAGAGTCGGTTTGCTGTCTGGATCTACTATCGCAATTCTAAATTTATCTGAGGTATTGAGCAGCTAATCTAAATTTACGACGAGTGTGGTATTATGCTTTGAAAATAATTTTTAATGTTTCTTTCTTGAAGTACTTACAAAAATTGAAGATCCTCAAAAGGTTTGGTTTTTTTATTTTGTTAAATCATAACCAATTGCAGGAGAAATGTTGATGCAGTGTGCAAGCTGTCTGCAATAGGTTTAAGCACATTATCTTGCATACTATTCAAGATTGTGATTTTTTGCAGGACAACTGTATTAACTAGAGAGATTAAAAGATGAAACTGTTGGGTTTATGCATCCAATGAATATTGTTATTGCAGTAAACCCATTGTGATAAGCAATAAAAGTTTCAAAATGATGCATAAAGAATTAATAATACAAGGCTAATTAGTTGCAGGAAAAATTTGGTTAACCACGAGTACGAAGTTTTTCAATTGGGAAGAAAAATATAAGAATTAGAAGAATTCTTGTTTTTCAAAGCACTATACTGCTTAGTCGGTTTTAGCGTATTTCTGTACATCTTATTGTTGTCTATCAGATTTCTTTATTAGGTCTCAGCTTTTCAGTATATGTAGTAGAAACTAAGCCAAAGGTTAGAAAATAAAAGATAAGAGCAATTTTATAGGAACCAAACAGATTATTTTTGGCGAGGAGTACCAGAACAAGCTTAAGGGTACGTAATTTGATCGACTATGAAATGAAAGCAGAGAACTGAAGTGATCACAACATCTCTTCTTCTCTGCGTCTCTTAAGAGGTTTTTTCTTCTTATCTCTTTCTTTATTTTACTCAAGTTTTTCAATTTATTTATTTTACGACATTTACTGAAGGAGTTTTGCTTAGTTTCCTTCTTATATCCAAAGGAGATTGCTTAAGTGTATATAATTATCTTGATTCTCGCAGAAACTCGCCAAAATTTTATTGAAGCTTTATAGCAGATTTAGTGCGATTTTTCTTCACCTACAACAGCAAAAAGCTTGCCAGATAAACAACATATCCTTTTAGTCAGAATATAGCTGGAAAATCTGCATTGACTGGTTCTAAAATTTAATTGTAGACTACTGGTCATCTCTTAATGCAGCAGAAAAAAAAGTTTTTTTTTTTTTTTGCATACAGAAACGAGCACACGATTGAAATTGGAATAGTTGTATAAAAACAGTTATTCCAAACTATTCAGTCGTCTAAAATGTTATTCAAATTTTCTCAATGACTATTGGAAATCTATTTTTTCTCATTTTGTAATAAAGAACTATTAACTGATACATGCGCTTATCAAAACTATTGATAGAACAAGATATCTTAGATATATACATCACAACAGACTATTATAAGGAATTTTTTGTAGAAAAAGGTGTAACAAATTTGACAAAAATCTAGCTGTCAAAAGATGTTTTGCATGCAAAACCAAAGCCAATACTTGCATCTGTTCCAGAAATGTTCAATGTTCTTGAAGAAATGTTGTTTCTATTTTGGAACGTCATTTATTTATTA